ATTTATACATATGTCCGTTTATTTTTTATTTTTTAGTGTAACAAATTATAATATAATATTGACTTACCATATGTACCTAATGTACCAACAAACGGTTAATAAACTATTATTATTATTATTATATACCAAAGCTGAAGGAATATATTCTCCGGCCGGATTGAAACAAATTTCGGCGGTAACCAGGGCCTCTCTCTGCTGAGGACAAAACTTCTACCTGTTTTTCCTTTTTTTTGATATAACTTTGGAAGGCTTATTTGGAACCGTGGTAATTCCTATCTCGTCGCAATTATATATGCGATTCGGGGAATATCGATGAGTTCCATATAAATGATCAAGTAGGTCGAAAAACTTATCAACAATAACCTTATTGAAGGCCAAAGCTCTAGCTTCCGAAGTTTTCTCTGGAAGCCGCAGTGATAACTTCGTGTTCCTTTTCAAAAATCCGTAAACCCAATCTTTTTCTGCTCATATCATGCAAAAAATAACCATTTCACTTTGCCAAATATTTCAATTTGCCCGCAACACCTGTGATTCACTTTGCTTGCCATCCTACAACCGTTAAAAAAAATCCACCTGTTTATCTCAAACGGAAAAACAGGATCAATAAACAAGATACTTCTAAACATGTAAACTATAGCTGACAAATAGATAGAGGATAAAACACTTACCTTTTCTTTATTATTACTTACAGAAAACAGTAAAAAAATTACAACAAAACGTCCAAAAACACTAACAGTCGACCTGTCACATGAAAGATTTCAGATAAAATAACCATATTGCATTCACAACTGCCAACCCAAGCGAGCTATGTTCACATGGCAGCACAACTTGAACCCGTCAATTTCAAAATAAAATATGCCGATATTCAACAGTTTGTACACTAATTTGATAGATATTTTTGTTATTAGTCTCGATATTTAAAAGTTTTATATAATATACTATATATTTTCGTCTGCTTTGCATGTCATATGTGAACGTAGGTTCACATACACGAGAGGCAAGGGGTAAGGTTTTTTCACCTGAACTTGGGCATATCATATGCACTTCTCCGGAATATGTTTAATCATTTTGACTCCTACCCCCGAGTATGTGTGTCTTCCCCCACCACTCCCTAACTTGATTAGCTAACAGAAAGAACCACTCATTAGTTCATAGACTTTCGTGGTATGCAGACGTGTGTGTACCCTGTATTAACTTGTTCAGAGTACACATGAAGGACAATGTCAAACCCTGCCTTTACCATATATGCAATCTACCCCGTAATCTCAAAATTCAATTCCCAAAACTCCACGTCCAAGGTCATTTGCATGCACATAGAGCATGAAGTTCTTCAATGTCAAAACTCAAGGTCACGTACCGGAGACGGGCTTGAATCTCAAGGTCAATCCCCCATGTTCACGGTTATATGGCCTTGAAAATAGCTCAAGGCTGTGCGACATCAGTCAAGGTCAAAAGTGGTTAAGGGAGGATGTTTCATTGACGTTATTCACTTCTATATACCAGAAACACCTTTCAATGTCACCTTGATGACATCATCAATCATCAAAATGCCAATAGTTACGTGATAGTGGTGGGGGGAGGCCGAGAACCGGCTGTAATTTCCTATTGGTAAAATAGTGCCTAAGCTACCTATTCAATAGGCTACAATGTACTGAAATTGACAATGTTTTGTCAAAGAGAACTATTTATTCAGTGGAAGTGTTTTCACTGATGATCTGGTGGTAACTGCAAGTGTGAAGAAATTTTAAAGAGATATTTGAAAAAAGTTAATTATACTTTGATGAAAATAATAAATTCAAGCAGAATATTAAGACCAAAGCTATATTCATCAAAACACTTCACAGATTATTGAAATTGAAAATGAAATAAAATATCTGGGATTTGTTGTCAATAACACCCTAAATCTCAAGACATTTTTAATATATGTACAATTTCTTAAAATGGCTTTAAGAATTACCTCCTTAAATATTAGCATGTGTTTAAGGAACACCCTGTATATTATGTCAATCATACCGAATACATCATAAAAACTATTTGGCATACGTATTGAATTGAAATTTAATACATCTAAGTCAAGTTTTCCATCAGAGAAACTTCTTGAAAATGTCTGCAAGAAGAAGTCATGTTATCGTATAAAAACAGAAAGTGCTTTCTGTTTGATTACTGTGACTTAGTTATGAGCCTTGTTTGAACAGTACCTATGAATTCAATGAACTGAAGACTTGAAACTTCTGTTTTCTGTTCATCTATGGTCTCTGTATATTATGCCTTTCGAAATGAGAGGAACCTCTTCTGGCTCAGAATGAAAAATAGAAGAACATTTACCCACAAAAAATATCAAGAAACAATTTGGAAAAGATCATAATGAACTCCTACCTAATCCTAGTCTAAGGTGTAACAGTAGCTCTGGGCTAAACCTCGGGTTCTTCTGGTTGTCAAGCGTGGCATGGTATGATCATATGTAAGCAATTACAAGTTGAAAAACATTAAAAAGTGACACCTTTTCATTTGTAGCAATGAATTGACCCGTTTATTATCATTATTCAAGTTTCAGTTAGAATGCTCTGTATGACCTATCTTGGAAGTGAAACAGTAGAAATAACTCAAATTACTTACCAATGACAACTGCGAGAATTTGGAAACAGTTTTTGGTTGAAATGTACGTTTCTTTACACTTGCCCGACTCCATGTTCATTTATAGTATCGTTTGTCGGTTTTTTATAAGCGATCCACGACTCCTTGAAGGCTGATTATATCCAACATCAATTAGTTGACACAAACATACGTTATCTATACTTTTTGTTTTTTTGTATTGAAGTAATCCTAAAGGGACTACTGTTTTACACTCCATTAGTTTCTTACAATCAATCAACTTCCAACTCTCTATTTCTCCCGAATTACATAGATTTTGTGGTGATGGTGGTGAACTACCGAAAAAGGCAAAATCTGTCACCAGTATGGCTCACTCGATTTCATTTAAGGCCGCTTTTTTAAAAGAACGCTGTATCCGTTTATATGGCTATTCATGTGACGGTGGTGTTGCATATTCTACAACGTGATCGTGATGTATTAACTTTAATGTATTTCTGTACAGAGGAGCACAATAAACTATAAGGCCTTTCATTGAACGCTTCCTGACTTTGAAAATTAAATTAAACAAATTGTGAATGATATATCATAGAAATTTTTATTCATTTGCGAGACCTATTGATGCCATTATGTGTGGAATATACTCGTAACATCGTTCTGGGTGGAGCACATCCGAAACGTCAAATTTTCCATTACTCTGGAGCATGAATGAAGCTGAATTTGACCGATGGTCATAACATCTTCGACAATTTTGTTTGTTCACGTAACCATTGAACCAGAAATGTGCCTCATCGCTGAAGATGATTTTGGGGTCAGTTGTCAACTGCTCCAGAGCTAATTCAGCGAATACACATCGTTGTTTATGGTTTACCTTCAATTCCTGAGTTATTTGAATTTTGTATGGGCACAGACTCAAGCCACGACGCGAAATTTGCCAAGTTGTGGTCTGCAAAAAGCCGAGTTCTTGTGAGCGACGCGAAGTCGACTGTCTCGGATTCGGTATCTCAAGGATACCGACGTTTACTGAACCAGTGGACTCAAATTCATCCATCACATTGCGAATATTCCTCTAGGTAGAGCGATTAAAGCGAGCGTAAAATGGGTGAAGCGCGCGGTATGTTGCCTGAACAGAACACCCAAACAGACTGAATAAATACAACTAACTTGACAGATGTAGTTTCAATTAGATGGCTGTTATCACTTGTCAAAGTTCGGAAGTCTCTGAAGAAAGGCCCTATATTACACAAGTAACTATAACTAAGAGCTAGAATTACATTAAGTCTCTTTTCAGGAAAATAATGAGAAGATTAGTTAGGAATATTTTAGTCTATTATGGCTGCGTAAAAATAAAAACTTTGGAAATTGAAATGATCAAAACCCACCGATATCCATTAGACACTGCTTTGCTACTTACTCACATCACCAACTATCTCACGAGGTCCGGCTATTAAGTAACGAAAAATGGTTTTACATTCGAATGTTCCCCTTCAATATACACCCCTCCCCTCTCCACACACCTTTTTTATTGATCAAAGCTGTGCTGGAAATCTTCTTTGGTGAGGGCCTTCAGGAGCTCTGCCGTTTTTTTCTTTTCCGCTTCCATCGACTCAAATCGGGTCCCTTTCGAAGCAGATTTTATCTTCGGAACCAAAAAAGTCGCACGGAGCCAAAGCTGGCGTGTACGGCGCGTGTTCGAGCATTGGAGTGCGTTTATCGGCCAAATACCGCACAAATAGCGCGTTATGGGCACCTTCGTTATCCTGGTGCAAAATCCACGAGTTGTTCTTCCACAACTCGGGCCGTTTCTTACAAACGTGTTGTCAATACTGACAAATAGTAAGTCTGGTTGACAGTCTGACCTTCTGGAACCCATTCAGTCATGGTCTGACCCCTCGGGACCTGTTCGTTAAGGATGTTGCGTTAATGGCCATGTTACGATTGCGCACGGCTGGTGGAAACCTCGAAGTAGGAATGGGTCAAATGAGGCTGGGCATATGGCGAAAAGCGCTTACTGCGCAACCTCTGCTGCAGGCAATTGAATCCAAGTTTGAGCTTAATAAACCCTGCAAAATATAAATAAAACAGAGTCGGAGTGTTCGGCGAGTTTTGGCCTACACCTGCCGATATAAAGGAGATGTCTCCTAGAAACCTGTCCACCTTCCTGGGAAGGACAGGATGGACAATGACCGCTACTGCACAAATGTTATAATAGTGACGAAAACGTGTTTTGGTACGTGCCGGTACCTCGTACAATCTATTCAAAACCGATCAGAAAGTTCAAGCACCTAAAGGCTGACTTTCGACCAAAAGAGGTCAGATGTCAATCTTGCTGAAGTGCCCATCAGTAGATAGATAGGTTTTATTGATCCTTTTTGCTACATAATGTGTAGATGGGATAAGGAGGATTTATCCTCATTCTGAACACGATTTACTATTATCACCTCCATTCAATGTTCAAAGCCCTAACTGAATAAAGAAATATTTAATGCTTCATTCGACTCGAAAACAGAAATATCAGCAAGAGAAAGAAGACGTGATTTCATATTCCGATTTCAATATCTGCCTTGGTATTATCCTGGAAAAAAGCTGATAGTCATATTCACGTCATAATATATTTTCTCAAAAGTACATTCGTCCTAATATTAAATCAGTAAATAATTCATGACAGAAATCTCTGAATGTGAAATAATATCAATGAAGGTTTGAATATCCTTTATTTAAAACGACTAGTATCTCAGCTTTAAATTTGATGTGAAGTGAAAAGAGGAAGGAAAAAGTATAAATCGTTCTTCATAGATAATATTTTTATTTAACTGATAAATATTTTTCATGAAGAGAAGTAGATTATTTCTCAAGCAATTAATTACCATCGAAACACATCAAATTTTCATTTTCATCTGTTGATTTTTTCGACTCATTTCCTTTCATCAATTGCTGGATTTCCTCTAGAGTTCTATCTTTCGTTTCGGGTAAAATGAAATAGCAAACAATGCTTGAGATCACATCACAAATTGAAAAGAACAAAAATGGCGCATAAAGACCATACTTAGAACTGAGGAAATAGAATAGGGCATTAGCAATAAAAGACACGATTCCAGTTATGACCAAAAAAATGCTCATTGCTTTCAACCGAAAGCTGGTGGAAAATAATTCCCCTAACATTAAAGTGGGCATCAAATTGATGCCATAAGAGCTGAATATGGAGTAAAGTATCATACCAACTATAGGAATCCAATGAAATGAATTAATATTCACATCTGGTCGGTGCTGGTGGATGTAAAAGTATACCGCCTCAATGAATAGAACAGCGGCACATGGAATTAACGATCCCATATATGCTTTTCTTCTGCTGAGCCAATTAACTCCTAAACTAGCAAAAATACTTAGAGAAACAACCAGACTCATGAAAATCATTGACGAAACTTCAGTCGTGAAAGTTCCTTCAGATTTATCAAAAATGTACTGAGTGAAATTCACAAAGGCGTGTCCTCCTCCAACTATATGGGACACCCTGAGAAATAGTGCTGCAGCAAGAGCTCTTCTATTGCTGTCTATCTTTAGAGTTTCTTTCCAAGTTCCATGCTCCGACATCTGTCTGTCAACATCAGCTTTCAGAGACGAGAAATCTGCTGTCACGTCCTTTTTCCGGTTCAGCCTCTGCAAGGACATTTTAGCCTCATCGTATCTTCCTCTCATTATGTAAAAATAAGGAGACTCTGGCATGAAAGAAAACAAAATGAAAAACAAAACTGGTATAGGAATGAAGATACAGCTTGTCTCCCAAACGTTGAAGTAACTCCCAGCAACAGTTACTAGTAGTTCTCCCAGGAGAAAAGACACAGTCATCGAATTTCCCCACGTACCTCTTATTTTCGGCGATGAAACCTCTCCAAGGTAGGCAGGCAGCGCGACAAACATTATGGCTTCTGAGACTCCTACCAATAGTCTGGCGATATAGAAAACATACACACTCCTCGCTGTAGCTTTGAGGATCCAAACGGTTACATCAACCAAAGATGTTACGAGCAAAATACGTTTTCTTCCATAAACATCACTCAGCTTGCTGAAGATTGGGCAGACAACCATCACAACGAGGAAGGGGAGCATCGTGAAATGTGCAGCTTGTTCTTCACTGATGTCATAGTTCTGTTTGTCTTTTGAAATTTTCAAGACAAACGGGGAAGACCACGAGAAGCCAATTCCACAGGTGATAGCTGATAAGCTAGCTGAAAAAAATATATATCGATCAGTTTGTGAAGAGTTAGTGAAATAGCCGAGGTCTCGTTTTGAAAGCCCCATTATGAATATTGCTATACTGTTAATCAAGGAAAACTGTAACATTCGGTCTCGACTGAGAAAAAAAATACTATCTCTAATAATGCTGTGACTATATTTATTTTTCATCAGCTTCAAACATGAATATTTTTGAAAATATTGGTTCTACTTCCCCCGACAACAGGGGGAATAATACCGGCTTGCCGCACTAAGGCAGAAATCTTAGCCGCACATATGCAGAAGGCTGTCATTCTTGGCTCACTGCACTCGCTCAGGGCACATGATTCTCAGACCCAATGATCACTTACCCCACGGTGTGGGGAGTGGTCATTGGTTAAAAATGTTGGCGCACCCTCCCGAATGTATCGGGTCTTCGGGGGATAGGGCCTGACCAGCGCACACTACACTGGAACAAATTATAAGACGTTTATTAATCCGAATTCACAATTACATGACCAGTATGATAATACCTACATATATTTTATAATATACAGATTAATTGGCCTATTGTCAGCTTTCTGATACGAGATCAGGTGCTGTTGAGGCCCAGGGGGAAAATGCATATATCTAAGTAAATGGTAATCGACTAAGATTATTATATTTCGATTATTATGAAAACTGCCAGTTGAGTACTAAATATGTTGATGTTAAGATAGCTTCTCTTTTATTATTGTTTCGAATGACGTCATTAATTTTGTGAAGTCAGTGATCCGGAATTTATTCGGAAGATTTGCCGTGCAGTATGTGTGAAAGAACGTTTGAATATCTCTTTCTTATGGGAAGGTATAGTTATAATTCCTATTCTACGAATATGACATTATGAACATAACTTCTAAAGATAATTTTTTGTGTAAATAAGGAGGTTTTTCGTATTTCAAAATTGTATAGAAGAAACAGGTTGCATGAAGTAGTCTTCGATTATACATATTCATCCAGTTTATTTTCTTCAGTCTATGCGACATTCTCTGTCTTCGCCTTATACCATATATCAACCTCAAACAAGAATTTTGTAATTTCTGAATGCGCCCGGAATCTCTATTATTTAAACACGACCTATATATACTATTACAAAAGTTCATGTGTGAGAAAACAATTGAATCACATAGTTCTTTTTTTGTGATTTGATTTAGAAATTTCCAAATTAGCATAGGCAATTCTCAACTTTGACGCGACGTGCTCCGTGAATTTGAGTGTATTGTCAATTATCAAACCCAGATTTCTAGGGGATGTTCTGAAAGAAATAACCTCATTAACTATATTAATGTTCAAAGATGCCTGCAATTCTTCTCTGATTCTAACATTACAAAAATGTATAGCCATGGATTTTTGTGGATTGATTTTCAATAAATGTTCATTTGATATTTCGAAAAGTTTTTGCAGATCATAGTTGACTGAATATTCTGCTGCTGCAGTATCTGATGGGTTAAAGGAAAAGTATAACTGCGAGTCGTCTGCATATAGATTGTGATAAAGATTTAAGTCACATATTTTACATTTCAAATAGTTTACCAAATTCGTATTATATTCAATTGTTTTTTCCACAATTCTACGTATAGAAACGTTGCAGGTTCATTAAACTCACCTCGACCTAATTATGTATTACTGCAACCTTTTCAGTACATTGAACTGTTTGCAGTTCAAATATATAACAATTAGATAATAAGTGATGAGCAACCAATTCTGTATAACCCCGATTCTGATGAATCATTAGTGTGCATATACTCTTCGATGTAAGATGTTAACTTTGATACGAATAAAAACGAAACTCTTGGTAATGACTGGCTTCAATTAAACTACCTGGAAAACCCAACATTTCAAGATGATACTTGCAACGAGTTTACGGCTTTACGAACTGTGCAGTATAAATTGCATATAATAATGGACCCAAAATTCTCCCGTGAGGTACACCAGTGGTGACAGGAATTGCCGTCGATTTCCCATTTTTATACACTACTCGCTGTTATGTGTTCGTTAGGAATGATTTTATCAAATCGCAAGCTCGCACAAAAAGCCGATATGATTTAGAATTACCAATAGAATTTTATGATTCAGCATATCGAACGCTTTTGTGTACCAGGATCGTTGCCTTACTTTTGTCCATTCCCCTCAGAAGATCATCTGACACATCAGTCAATGCAGAGCTACAGCTGTAATCTGGCCTAAAATCTGATTGTTTCGCTGGTAGATAAATGGTACTATTTGAGACTCAATGGCTCTTTCGAGCACTTTTGAAAGAACAGCTGGAATAGAAACTAAACGTAAGTGTGAAAACTCTGATGGTGAACTTATTTTTGGCAGAGGATTGACGGGAGCTTCCTTCCATAACTGTGGAAAATAGGAGTTTTGTATACAAGAGTTGATTATACGTATACGTTATATGTGACACAATAACGGGGCAGGATAGTATTATTAGAATCACACTAATGTTTTCACACCCAAATGCAGTATATTCATCTAGTAAACTAGTGCTTGGCTGGCGAGAGTTTTTACGTTAGTCAACAAAGTACGGATTGAGTGCTTCAACGTACTGTAGTTCTTCTGTTAAAAAAGCATTGTTTTTCTTTTTGATGCTCAGTTCTTTCAGTTCTTGTCATTTTTGTTTTTGTTTGAGTTTTTTAAAAGTATAGTTCAGATACACTTTTTTTCTACCCTTACAGCTGCAGTGACAACATTTCTCATAGTTTTGTAATGTTCCTTATGTTCCACCATTTTTGTTATCCGATACCGATTGAGTGATTCATACCTTAGTTTTTGCATACTGCGAATATTATCTGTGATCCATGGACTATAGGGTTTTATTTTGTTTTTTTTACACGTCGAACAGTTGCATGATGGTTGAAAAGTTGCAGTAAGTTACCTGTTAAAAAAATAATTTTCTGTTCTATGTTTTCAATCGAGTACTAAATGTCCCATGCCATGTTTTCGAGGTCCCTTTGAAAACAGAGCATGTCTTTGTTACGTAGAGACCTGAAACTGGATGAATAATCGTGACAGACTTTCAGTTCTACATTCATGGAACAGTAAAAGAGCATGTGATCAGATATATCAAGATCCCGAACGCCGGAATCAGAAATATCTTGAGAATTAGTGAAAATCGAATGAATCGATGTTGAACAATTGCCAGCTATTCTAGTGGGTTGGTTGATTGATTCTTTTCTCAAGGGAAGCACCTATAACATTCACTCTTGTTTACAACACAAAAAGTGGAGAGTGTGACGGAAAGTGTCACTTGGTAAAATTTGAGCATGAAAGTACGATCGCAGACGTTGAATTATGTACGAAGTGGTCAACCAGAAAATTGACGTGCTGTCCTTGAGTATACTAGACGATAAATTATTTTGTTATTGAGCAAGTCAATTAGAATCAGTAGGTCGTTCAACAAGTCTTTCAGGTAACCTATATATGGCATCACTAACATAAAATCCCATTTGTTTTCCAATAGAACGTACCTTCAAGTGACACGAGTCTGAATTTCACATCAATCGATCCTTAAACAGCAACATTTTTAGGTTGTTTCAGAAGTTTTGTCCGTTTTTGTGAGTCCACTTTTGACTGTAACACTCAGTGATTACTCATTCAACTGAATCGAAATGAGCGCCATTTGAATCAGTGCACTTTTGCCCACGTACCACAAGTCATCATGTAAACTGGGTGTTCTGGATTCGATGAAATCAACGAAGGCCATTGTTGCCTGATCCTGATTGACGAAGGTTTGAAGTTATCGAAGTGCTTGAGAATATGATAGTCGGTTGGGGCGAGGTCTGGGACCAGTGTTTGCTGCTAATGGCGCAATTTTTGGTGCTGCTGTGATGGTTTAGCCCGGTTGCAGAAAGTTATGTGGATCAATCCGTTGACCACCATACATTATTCATGGAAAATTGATGGATGTAGCCGTTACCACGTGGTAGGAAATCATAATGAAAAGAGAAATGAAAATTTCTGTTTTTTAACACTTTTATTTGTAAGTAACGTTACTGCAGTTTCGTCCTATACGGACATTTTCAAACTTATACAATAAACTAACAATGATTCATTACATTTCTATTAGTACCTACATTACCCCTGTAGAGGTACTTGACTTGATTGAGTACCTGAATTTACAGTTCACAATGCGGATGTGCCAATTTAAAATTAAATTAAAATAAAATTAATTGAATCGATTACCCGAGAAATGTGTTTTGAT